TCACATGTAAGCTAATGAATGAGAAATCTTATAGAAAAACAACTGAAAAGCCAGTATCACATATTAATAGTTATGAATGATGAAGACACTTAGTACGATAGTTACTAATGGGGCACAGTGCTTCAAATTTGAAATAGAAAATTTCAAACCTAAGCCTTCACAGCCCATTTGATGTCCCTCTTGGAAAAAAATATGAAGCCAGGAACAGAAAAGAGATTTAACAGAAATAGATAGGAAAAGTGAGATAGAGCAATGTTTTAACCTAACAGTAAATATAAACGAAGGAAGCTCTTAAACAATGAATGACATGATCTCAATTCACTAATTCCAAATGCAACCAGATTTTAAACCTTTCCAAGATAATTAAGTTTTTTCCAAGGGGGCTATACTCAACAGTCACATTCAAGAAGTTATTACCAACTTGCTCTAATTCTTCCTAAAGGTATGTTTGGTTGGAGGGAAGGGAGGGAAGGGATTTTAATAGAGGTGGGGGGAGGGAGGCCCCCAATTTGGCGAGGAGCTGCTTGCAACCACTACCAAAGAAATTTGGGAGTCAAAAAAAAACACTACTCAATCAAAGAAAATAATGCTGCGCTATTCCAGGTAAAACATTCCCTTAGAAATCTCATTCAAGGTGACAAGTCTGTAACTCAATATTATACTACTCTAATTAAGTTCCGGCAGCAAATTGACCTCTATGAGATCCATGAGTGGTCTTGTGACAGGGATGGGATTTATTATAAAAAATTGATTGACCAAGACAGATGCTATGATTTTTTGTTGGGTTTAAATGAAACTTTCGAGGATATTCAGGGTCGACAAATGAGCATGAAACCCCCTCCTATGCTGGGAGAAACCTTCCTCCTATGCTGGGAGAAACCTTCAACATGATCCGATGTGAAGAGAGCAGAAAAATGTTGACTCAAAGCTCCACAATATCAACTCCTCTTCTGAATAACGCTTCCGAACTTGCTGTCCATGGAGCTCAAGGGGAAATGAAGGGCAAGAAACCTGAAAAATGGTGTGATCACTGCAATAAGGGTGGGCATACCAAAGACGTATGCTGGAAACTACTTGGAAAGCCCCCAAATTCCAAAGTAAAGCCTAAAAATGAAGGAAAGGGACTTATGATTGGTGCTGCAGAACCTGAAAGAAGGTCTTTAAGTACTGAAGATTGTCAGTTCTCCGGAAAATCCTAGAAAAGCATGCTTCTTCAACTGGAATGAATGAGCCAAAACATCCTTCTGTAACCTTGGCACAATCAGGTACTGCCCTTACTGATACTCTCAGTGAGAAAGCCAACCCAAAAAATATTTGGGTAGTAGATTCAAGAGCTACTGAGCACATAAGTTTCAGAGAACTTTTTTCTGATTTCAATGAACATTCTGAGCATAAATATGTTGAAGTAGCCAATGGTGAATTTGTAAAAGTCATAGGTTTTGGAACTGTAATTATTTCTAAGCATATTACCTTAAAGAATGTTTTATATGTTCCAGCTATTAAATGTAGCTTACTATTTGTAAGTCACATTGTAAATCAAGCAAACTGCTTAGTATTTTTTGACAAAAGGGGTTGTGAATTTCAGGACTTGGTCTTGGGGCAGATGATTGGCAATGCTAAGGAATGGAATCGGCTCTACCATATTCATGGATCTCCATCCAAGATTAATCCTGCTATCTATTTTGTCATGACCAGTGTTGACCTTACTTTATGGCACTCTAGGTTAGGCCATTCAAGCCTTCAATATATGAAATTTCTGTTTCCTAATATCAATAATAAAACAATTTCTGAATTTCATTGTGATACTTGCAATTTTGCTAAGCAAGTCCGACATTCTTTTCCTTCCAACTCTTATACTCCAACTCACCCTTTTTCCCCTATCCATAGTGACGTATAGGGACCATCAAAATTTGAAACAAACTTCAAATGTAGGTGGTTTGTCATATTTATATATGATCATACTCGATTAACATGAGTTTTTCTAATGAGAGAAAAATCTAAGGTTCTCACCATCTTCAAAAATTTTCATGTGTTTATTCAAAATCAATTTCAAACATCAATTAAAATTCTCCACAGTGACAACGAAAGAGAATATTTGAACTCCACTTTTAAAAACTATTTAGAATAACAAGGAATACACCATCAAACTTCTTGTGCTTATTCCCCTCAACAAAATAGTGTATCTGAAAGAAAAAAGACACTTAAGGTTGCTTGAGCCCTTATGTTTGGTGGTACTGTCCCTAATAAATTTTGGGGGGATGCCATTCTTACTTATGCATATTTGATAAATCGCTTACCTTCTAAAGCCCTCAACTTTCAAACTCCATTACAAAAATTTATTGAGTCTTATCCTAACTCCCATCTTACTGCTTCTATTCCAACAAGGGTTTTTGGATGCATGACCTTTGTATATAATAAAGGTGGTGGAAAGCTCGACTCTCGAGCCATCAAGTGTGTTTTCTTGGGCTATTCCTCTACCCAAAACGGGTATAAGTGCTATTCCCCTATTACAAACCGGATATATATCACCATGAATGTCAACTTCGTTGAAAATCAATCCTTTTTTAACAAATCTCCCATTCAAGGGCAGAGTGAGGAAAGTGAATGGTCAATTTGCTTAGATGAGAGTGATTATCACCCCAGACTGCACCCTGGACAGCCTCTTGAACCCCACATATCCCCAGATCTCTCCACCAATAGCTCTTCCACCAATTCAGACTCAAGAAATTTTCAGTCTGAACCTCAGAACAGCTCTGAAAATGTTGAAACAAGTTCACCAGACTCTGAAAACTCTTCAAATAGATCCAGATTTCATGATGCAAACCCCTTTGAGCCACTAAATATGCTTCCTGGTTTTGAGACTCAGGTGGATGAATCAAAAAGTACTACTGAACAGCGTCAAAGCAAAGAAAATCCCATTTCCATACCAACACAATACCATGATTCTATACCTGAGGAGAGTTTTGAGGATTTACATTGGCCAATTGCTTTGAGAAAAGGGAAAAGAAATTGCACTAAGCATCCTATTTCCAGATATGTTTCATACAATAAACAATCTTCTTATATAAAGACTTTTGTGGCTAATGTTGAGAAAGAAAACTCCCCACAAATTCTAAGAAGCCGTCACTAATCCTAAATGGAAAAATGCTATAGAAGAAGAATTAAGAGCCCTACATGAAAATAAAACTTGGGAAATTACTGAGTTACCTAAAGGGAAACCTGTTGTAAGTAGTAAATGGGTTTTTACAATAAAGTATAATCCTGATGGAAGTGTGAACAAGTATAAGGCTCGATCGGTAGCTCGGGGATTTACCCAAACATATGGTATTGATTGCCAAGAAACTCTCTCCTTTGTTGCTAAACTTAACTCTGTAAAAGTTTTATTATCTCTTGCTACCAATTTAGGTTGGCCTCTTCATCAACTAGATGTTAAAAATGCCTTCCTAAACGGTGATCTTAAGGAAGAAGTTTATGTAGAAATTCCTTTGGGATTACGAGACACTAATAACTCTCACAAGGTTTGCAAGTTAATCAAGTCTCTATATGGACTTAACCAATCACCAAGAGCATGATTTGAGAAATTTACTTGAGCCATCAAAGCGTGGGGATACAAGCAATGTCAAGCCGATGATACGCTATTTGTTAAACATCATGGCGATAAAATAACAAGCCTTATTGTGTATGTCGATGATATAGTGTTGACAAAAAATGACAAGGAAGAAATTGCCAAGCTAAAGACCAACCTAGCAACACAATTTGAAATCAAAGACCTTGGATCCTTAAGGTATTTTTTGGGGATGGAAGTAGCACGAACTCATAAGGGGATCAGCGTGTCACAACAAAAGTACACCCTGGATTTGCTCAAGGAAGCAGGGATGTTGGGAGCCAAGCCTGCAAACACTCTGATGGAGCTAAATCAAAAACTAACTATCAAATCTAATGGTGTAGCAGTAAATAAAGATATCAAAAATTGGTAGGGAAGCTAATTTACTTATCACACACTCAACCTGATATTTGCTTTCCTATGAGTGTAGTAAGTCAATTCTCAAGTTGTCCTCAAAAAGAACATATGGCTATTATCCACCGAATACTCAGATATCTAAAGAAAACCCCATGCTTGGGTTTATTCTTCGCAAAAGGTGATACTAGGGGCATAGAGCTGTTCACAGATGCTAACTAGGCTGGTTCAAGAATGGATAGACGATCCACTATAAGGTACAGCTCATATGTGTGGGGTGACCTGGTGACTTGGAGAAGTAAGAAGCAGCCAATAGTTTCAAGAAGCTTTGCTGAATCCGAATGCAGAGCACTTGCCCTACGAACTTGTGAAGGAATGTGGATGGTTAGACTTCTAAAGGAATTGAAGATTGAGACAATTGGACCAATCAAAGCATGGTGTGATAACATGTCAGTAGTCAAGATTGCAAATAACCTTGTACACCATGATCGCACAGAACATGTGGAGATTGATCAGCACTTCATCAAAGAAAAGTTGGATGCAAAAGTGATTGATCTATCATACATCCCTTCGGGTTAGTAGATTGTAGATGTGATGACCAAAGCATTGACTCAGGAAAAATTTGAAGCATTTAGGGGCAAGCTGGGAATGATTAACATCTACGCACCAGCTTGAGGAGGAGTGTTGGATGTGGGCCTCTGCCTATATTGGGCCTAGACTAACTAATACACAAACCTAATTTTCCTTCTTGAGCTTGCAACGTCCACTTTCCCTTTAGGTTCTGTAATTAGTTATTATTATTATTATTAGTTTTTATTTCATAAGAGAGAGTTTAGGGATCTAATTAGATTTATTCTCTCTCCCCTCCGTCTATATATGTAAATCATGATTTATCAATAAAAACACAGGAAAATAGATTCAATTACACTTATGTTTCTAAAAGGTATAATAAATGTGCAAAATACCCAACAAGACATAGACAGGACACTCAATTTAGTCACGGCAATAAATAACTGCAAAGAAAAAAGCTCCAGCAATTCACCTGGTTGTTCTCAACTGCCTGTGTATCCAAACGTTTGAAAAAGACCTGAATAAGATGCTCAACTACAGCAGCCCCTTTTCCTGCTATCTTACTCACAGAGCAGAGGCACCTGTTAAAGAAAAAAGTATTCAGGCCAACAAGGTAGAAAGAATGCACATTTTTCCACCAAATCAAGCCTGTAACAGCACTACCTCCATTCCTTTTCACAAGACAATTCTTACAAGATTTTGGTATTCCTATTTATAAGACAATTTGCTTAATCTAGGCAGTAATTAATACGTTTTTCAAAAAAGCCCTTGAAAAGAAGTGAGTTTAATAAAGAGTGTGTGAGAGAGAATAGACTATTTAATTAAGGGTATTTGCAAAAAATTGAGGTAGTTTAGAGACATCAATTAGTTTTATTAGCCTGTGTACAGGAACGAAAGGAGTATAATATGTTGAATCATAAGACATCCTCAAACCAGAACCAACAAAAGAAACTGAAAACAAAACAAAGGAACAAAACAAAAGCATTATTCCACACTACATATCACACAAATTGAATAGCAGTTGGGTTTCATTTCAATTGTACTCAGTGTCATCCATTATACCAAAGTAGCTTAAGCCACTTGGGGATAGGACTCACCACAAGCTTTTATTTCCCTCTTTTTTTTTATTTCTTTCAGATGTGGGTTTCATTTTTCAACCCCCCCTCCATTCACTGGGTTCTTGGATCTTGGCTGTTACTCTGAATTCCAGTCATGGATCTGCATTAAGCTCCAATACCATGACAAGTGTTATCTGTGATAGTGCTAGGAGTTAAGCATTATGCCAAAATAGCTTAAGTTACTAGATTAGGATTCACACAAGATTTTATACCCTCATAGTTTTCATTTTTCTTGGATGCGAGACTTCTTATAGTACTCTAATAATAGCCAGATCCAATCACGTCTTTGTAGCTTTTCCAACTACTGATCACTTCGTTTAACTTGGCACCAATCGACATGTGGTAAGGTTTTATGTGCCTCTTCTCCTGTGTAAAAGTCCAACTACTCAGAACTTGGAGGGAGGTATCACCTAAGAAGCTCAATTTGTGCAGCCTACTGAAACGACTCAGCTAAAGCAGGACATCAAGTTCATCTACCAAGCAGAAAGAACCAGAAAATAGCCCAGCACAATAAGCTCATGTCTTTGGAGAGCTCCCAACTATTATCTAGGAAGATAGTGTAATTTTTGGGAAAGCAGCTCTATGCAAGCTAATTAAAGAATGTTATTGGTACAGGGACATTTTCCTTCACAACCACTTAATGGGTAGATAAAAAGTAGAAGTGCCACTTTCACTATGAAACTAGCACAAGAATCAAGCAGTGCACAATAAAACAACATAAAATAACACGACTAACTTAAAAAAAAAAAAAAAAAAACCCAATGAGAATCAGAGTTACTTGATACAAGCATGGACAACTGTCAAGAAGGAATGCCGGACAATCATCTGTTTCAAATCTTGTTCAAGTTCCTCAATAATACTCTGCGGTAATTTGCGGATCAAGGGCAACACAGCATCAATTATAAATATTATACTCTCCAGTAGCTGTGCAACCATGCGATTGTCAACCTAAAGACAAGAAGAGTAAGTTAAGGTGAACTATTCCCATCATCATATCATATCATACCCCCTCCCTGTCAATAAGGGAAAGGAAAGAGAGTGCCAAAGACAACAGCTAGAGGCATCATATACAATGATAAACAGAAACCAACCATGGCTGAACATGAAGCGCCTTATTAAAATTTATAAGTCAGCATGCATCTGTAATATAACAATTTTTTCAACACTCTGTCCAGTGTACACAGTTGTACCCACCCTTTAAGGCCGCCCTAAAAGCAGAAAAGGGGCAAAGAGTGTTGAGAATTATGCAACAAGGAAGTCGAGTTTGGCTTGCCCCTTTTTCTGTTACTCTTGGTATTGCTGGACGGTAATTGTCCTGTTATCATGTTTTGGTGGATCACAGACAATCATTTTTAGATCATATTTACATATTAATTCTATATTGTTTGAAGATTTTACACAATGTCCACACTGCAAGGCTTTTTCATGACTTCTATGCACAATACAAGTCAAACTAAAAGTTCAATATCTTTAGTCAAGAGTTCTTTGAATCCTCAATTTAGTTCCACATCACAATCATCTTGGCCCACGATTTATTTTAGGTAAGATTTGATCTCGTCAATCTTATATATACCATGCCAGCCCTGCAAAGACCAGCTAAAGTTTGAAAAACTCATCATAATAGCCGTGGGGCAAGACTAAGATGCAGTTCTGAATAGCAGAAGACTTCCATTTACCAAATGAACAATGCCTAAACTTGAATTAATATAAAACTCAAAAAGAATGCCGTGTCAATCTACAAATTAAAATGATAGTGAAATGTATGACCTGACTCTTCAGATATGGCTGCAAAGTAACAACAAATTGAGAGGGGTTTGAGGCTGGTGCGCACAGAGTAGGATCCACAAGACAAAATGCGTGCAATACAAGCACATATGGAACTGCATGTAACTCAACTTCATAGCTGTTCGCTTCCTCAACCTGATTTAAAAAAAAAAATACACAACGATTTTATTTTCATTTCAACATAGACAAAATGCAAAAATAAGCTACAATGAAACCAGAGTACCTGCAAGATTTTCTCTAGCAAGCACTTGCACATCAACTCACAACGCTTACGCACTGTCGTGAGGGAAACAGGGTTGACCCCAATAGCTTTTGCAGATTGTGGCAAAAAATCAAGGGATAAATTGCGCTTAATGACAGTTACAAGAAGCTGATGATTTGGCATTCTCCTCAACATTTCAACAATTTGCTCAGTTTTCTTAGCCACCTCAAGTGGAACAGAGCTACCATCTCCATAGACCTGAGCCTGTAAACCTGAAGGCTCCTCAAACCAGAACTCATAAAAAGTTTTGCAAACAAGGTCCTGTGAAAAAAATCATAATAGGGAAAATGCTTTAGGTGACAGAAGAGTTGAGAGGGTTGAAAATCTATGTATCCAACAAGGGGACTAGGCTTAAATGAACATATATTCATCCAAAGGATGACTATTTGCAACAGTGAACATTTGCATGGCACAGCAGTACTTACACAGTTAAAAATTTTAACTGGAATGAGCACAAATGATAATAATAAAATGGAAAAAGAACGGCAATCTTAAAAAATGCAAATGCAGTCAATTATTGCATGTCAGCAACCATGACTAAGATTTGAATACTACAAAGTAACTACTAGTGCTCTGGGACATGCCAATATTAAAATCAAGGTTCTCAAGATCATTATTTGGATCAAAAGATTGTAAGATCTTAGGATCCTCTCCCAAAAACAGTGCTACTCCAATGTAGAATTTAAGAGGACCAAGATTTTAGTAGGATAATTATCCATATCATATGATTGTGCAATCTTTAAATGAATTATAAGAAGGTAAATTTCAATAACCTGGATACTTGACTCATCATCGCTAACACGTGAAATTATCTCAGTGCAAGCTCTTGTAAACCCAGAGAAACTAGCATTTGAAATGCACATATCTCGAATAATCTTTATAGCTCGCTTTCGAACACTAACTCCAGTATCTTTTATTCTCTCTGCAATCTTCTCAAAATACTACAGCAAAATTTGGGGGAAAAAACTGCATCAAATTTGCAGACAAATAAAGCTGATACAATCACATGGAGCTCTAAGACAATAAATATTTTTCCACTGAGGGAGACCAATGAACACAAACCTTAAAACCCACATCAGGATGTGAAGCTATATGCCTCCCAACAAGCTCCAATGCTGCTTCTCTTACAGATATTGCAGAGTCACAAAACCTTCCTTCAACAGCCGACTGTACTCGTTTGTCGCCCAGCACCTCTGGATCAGCTTCTACAATGATACTAACCTGATCATGTCAAATGAAAAGTAGACCAAAGTTCACTTAGTCCAAATAGGGAAAACAATATACATCAAAACCATCCAAGGTTCACTGGAAAAGCAGAGGTTACAAAGAAATTTCAACTTACTGCTCGTAAAGCCTTTGCTCTAACTACTGGGGAATTCTCCCTCAGACTTGCCTAAAAGTATCACAGGAAATTCATTAAAATATGAATTGGCAGATAAATCAAAGAACAGGAGAACATCAACCAACCAGAAGCATATGAAGAATCTTGTCAAACCCCCGACAAAATGAACTGTTTTGCCCTACTGCTAAGGTGATCCTCTTAATTGAATCCCTTGACAAAATTGAAGAGACAGTCATAGAGTCTCGCACAATGATTCTTGATTTCAGTCTAGCAAGGTAGTAAATGGACTTCTGCTGACAACTCAAATCATCTTTGTACCACAGGCAGAGGTAAAACCTGTACAACACATAAAATCATAGCATGAGCACATATTAACTAGAAAATTTGGTAGAAGGTTAGCTATGAGTACAAACCAGCATATAAAAAGATGGAGGTCATCAGTAGAGGCAACATCTTGAAGATAATTCAAAAGCAGCTGCTGGACAATTTCAACCTTAGCAATCTGACCAAAAGGTCCAGAATCATCTTTTGACAATTTGCTCTTACTCACACCATCCTTATACTGGGACTTGCAATATGATTGTAATACAAGAAGTTGTTTCTGGCATATGCATATCTGACAGCACCAATTCCGATTGGAAATTTCGTGTTCTTTAATTCCCAGGCAATCAGGATGAAAAAGTTTCTGGCAAACATTGCATATGAGCAAATTTTCTGCTCTTCCACCCATACAGACACAACACATATCTTCTGAGTAATTTTCAGTAGCATCATCCTCACTAAGCAGATACTGAAGTACCCAAAACTTATCCCGGCTGCAAATCACAGCATCACGCTTCAACCTTGCAGCAATTGTGCCAAGAATGTCAATCGCCAAGGAACGTGCTGAAATATCCTTGGATTTCAGCCCAGCATTTTGCAGTAATAGAACACATAGAACCTGGAAACAGTTTGGCAGTAAATAAACCTGACAGGTAGACCTACCAAAACAATAACACACACACACACACATGCAAGCATAAGCACACACAAAGTACCTCCAGAATAGGAGCTGAAGCTGGATATTCAGGTAAATTTAGTGTTGTCAGTAAATCTGTAACAAGATTCTCCATTATCAGTTTCACCTCAGATGCATCTTGAGCCTTCACACTTGCAAACCGCTGAAGTACCCGACTCCAGAATAGGCAGCAGGCCTCTGTTGCTGCCTCATTGCATTTTGTTGGATAACTAGAATCAATTGAGACTTCTAATACAGCACTACCACTAGATGCTTGTCTTAAATTATCAGGAAGGTTGGCACTACATTGAATTAATTGAATTAGCAAAGCAGTAACCATCTGGATCTGCCTTTGCTCTTCATCACGTAGGTGATATGCTCTTAAAGCTCGCTTTGAATTTGGTAATTTCCAAAGAAGCTGAAGCATTTCATCTATCACATAAGTGCGATGTTGCACATATAAATAGAATATCTGTACCAAAATATTGGAAAAATAAAAGTTAAAATAGTTACAAAGCTAAATGAGCATGTAGCTTTTTAAGAAAGTTAGACATCCTACCCCACTGACTAAACTAATTGCTTTCAACTGCAAAAGCTGGATGTTATCAACCAAGAATGTCGTGATGCTTGTTTTCACAAGTTGCAGAATACAACTATCTGACAGCCTCTCAATTAACAACAAATCCTTGAGAAGTCCAACAACAGTGCACAACTTCTGAAGAATAGTATTCACAGCAGTAGAGACCCTATTAATATGAGGACCAAGAAGAAAGTAATAAGCAGATTAAAAACCTAACTTTGAATACACTAGAAAGACAACTAAAGAATATAATGACATTTTAATGATCATCATACTTGCTTGATGCCGGTTTCCGCAATTTTGAAGTCTTGCTTGTACGCCGTTTCTTGTTCGCTGAACCAAATTCAATATCATAATCTTCATAATCATCACCTGGAAAACAAAAACAAGCTTGGAAGTATGATATGGCTTAGATGAAATAGTTGAGTTTTTGACATATTCTTTATCCGTTGCATATTTCCTGTGAGTTTTACCATTCCTTAATGGCTGTCAAATAAATGATAACTCATAACCAGATATAAGAACAAGGGAGGTAAAGATTAAGGATACAACTCTATAACCATACCAGAAAAAAGTCTCATAAAGTATACAAGGCATAAGAGGCACCTTCAAATTCAATATTTTCATTAGGTCTGTGTAAAGCACGGTATGATGGATCACAGGCACACATCACATCCAATATTTGATGCCTTGCAAACTCCAGAATTCTCTCAATGATCTGAGATGGGGCACAAAAAATCAGGCAAGACAGGTAATTCACTGAATTCATACACTTGCATAACAATACTTTAACTAATACAAAAAATCACCTCTTCTTTATAAAGTTGCTTTGGCATCTCGGTATGAGCCATCACCGCAAGTGCTGCATGAATGGACTCCAAAGCACTTAAAATTGATGAAACTACTTCAGAATCTGACTGAAACAGAAAATATTGCAGTTATGACAGCAAAGGAGAGGAGAGTTCATATATGAAATAATTATGTAAATGATGAAAGTCGACTGGGCAGTGGAAGATAAGTTGGAAACAGCTTTTTAAGAGAATCTACTTACCTTTCCCGAGGGAAAGCCAATTCAAAATGAAAAAAACGTAGGAGGTGAAACAATGTGCATCACTACACATTTAAGTTAGTATTTTGGGGGGAAAGAAAAGTTGAATAAGCACATACACACCAATCTACATGGCAATGCATGCCAAACCCATTGGCAAATTAGAGCAGGAAGCACAATTTGGTGAATGAATCGGAGAAGGCCAAAAAACAAAATAGAAAATAGGACTTCACAACAAATTAAACCATTTCCCAAAGGGCTTAAATCTTTTAACAAGGAACTGCCACCGCTCAGTAATAGCTGCTACAGACCTGAGCAGGAAATACATCCATCAGGATGTCTTAAAAGAAATCTTAGGTCTCTTAAAAAATATATCACATTTCATAAAAGGTTTTCCTTCTCCTATATTGTATGAGAGATGCTACAGCTGAGTTCAACTTCCTAAAGTTATCAAGATACATAAGAGAGCCTGTTTCTGTGCCCCGACAATTTCTTCAGATGACAACTGCAGCTAGCAACCATGCTAAACTTCATTTATTACTTAAGATGCTATGATAACAAACATCTAGCAACAAGCAAGTATCAAAAGAAAATTTTGCTAATATGATCAACTTCCTTAAAGAAATTCTGCTCACATTCAAACGCAAATAATTCCAAATGAGCACCAAAACTTGTAGCACTGACTAGCATAAGTGAACTAAGGAGAAAACTTACATTATCACATTCATCAATTGACAGGCCTTCTGCTCGATGTATTTGATGGTCTAAGACCTTCAGTAATCTAACAAGGATCTCTACAGGAACCAAATGGAGAAGTTTCTTTGCACGTATAGACACTATTTCATTAACAAGCTTTCTAAGATCAGAAAGTGACAATGGCAACCACTCTGCTTCATCACGATCCTCACTAAGAAGTTCAGCTTTGCTGCACAAGTCCTCCAGAAACTCACAAAACTTCCCAATGATGGCACCTGAATTGGTCATTAACAACAGTTGATTACATGGATAAAAATACCCATGTTCAAGGATGGGTATGATGGCTGAACAACAATACATAAAGAAACAAGAACCAGCTATATCAACCTTGAATCTCAGTAGAATCAGATCCGGCAGATATACCATCTCCACCTTTTTTCTTGACTTTAGATTTTTTTGAAGACAACATAGAAATATCCTGCCAGTTCATTTTGAAGATTAGCAAATAAAAAAGAATCTAAGCACCAATTGAATATGACAAAAACTGCCATACATTTGTAGAAAAATTAAGAGGCTGGTGATTTTGGGTTGCATTGTAGTCTTTCTGTGTCTGACCAGCATGAGAAAGGTTTGATTCAAAAAGCCTCTTTTCAGGTATTACACTACCAGAGATCTGCTCCTTAAGAGGACCTGAGAAACTTGAACAATACAATAAACAATAAGCAGAGCACTGTTGAATTATTTTATGAAAAGCAATAAGGTCAGTGGAAAAACAACCTCCGGTGGAAGATAGGCATCACAGACTGAGTAACCAAAATTAACTCAGCCATTTTCAGTGTCATCAGTCCGCCTTTAATTTATACATAATAGAACAATTTTTCCGAAAGTCTCAAACAAAGATGCCAATCATTTATTAGCATTAAGATTTGAATAAATTTATTTAGGAGATATGCAGGAAAGAGACCAAGCACTGGGTTTACCTGCAGTACCACATTCAAATGCTTCAGGATTGCACCTTAGAACTTCGGCATGAAGTTCTAAAGGTTCAACATAGACACAGGGAGCAGCCTTCGCGTCATCTCTTAGATTCCTGAATAAAACACCGCATGTAAATTTAATCTAATAAATTGATGATGTTAATAACAGTAACCCCGAAAGAATGATTATTACAATAACAACAATACCCACCTCCAAAGAAAATAGAGGCATATTAATCTAAGAAAACAAGAGGATAGAAATAGCTACAGCAGGATAGTAAACCAAAAGCTCTGGCAGGAGAAAAAAATGCCTTGCTGGTTGGTATGAAATCTCTTCATAAATAAATAAAAAAAATAACAATACATTTACAACAAATAAGCATTCAATAATTGAGTTTTAAAAGAATTGTTATATTATATATTGATAAAATTCAAGTTCAACTGTTTTCGAAAAACGGTCAGACAGCTTGCCATGTAAAACCAGAGATCAGTTTAATCACGCAACCAGCACAGTTTACATAAGCAACCAAAATTTTTAAGAGATGAATTAGTTTCAGAGTTCATCCCACATAAAAACGGAAACAAAAAAAAAGTCAATCGCATCATTTTTTTTTTTTGACCTGAAAATCGCATCATAACCACTAGAATCAAATACATAAAGTTCGAATGCTACTAAGCACAGCTGAAAACCGCGAACTGTTAATGCACAAAAATTCCGCAGCAAAATTAGTTTCCTAGTACATCCACTTACTTCCTGAAGACAAAAATCAATGCAAGACATATCAGTGAAAAATGTGGGAGAGAAGCGAAGGATATACTTACAAGTACGACACATCCGTCTGCTGAAGCAACTCAGCAATCTTACCGGACTGTGCAAGCACTTCACCGCGGTCCAGGAACCTAGATCCCTCCAGGAGCCGGAAGTCATGATCGGAAGCTCCGCAGAACACCGGAAGCGACGGCAAGGGCAAGCAAGATGCGACCTCCGAATGGATAGTGTTCGACAAACTGATGCCACGGGGGCTAAACACCGCCGTGGCAGAACTCCCTGGAAAACTCATCGATTAATTAACCGGTGAGTCTGTGGTATATACCGGAAGGGCATGTATGGAGGGTAAGGAGTATAAAATGCAAAAATCTACCGGTGAATTGAGCGAGAATAGGTTTCAATTGAAGGCAAGGTGGTATGCAGGGAAGAAATTGGAGCCCTAGAAGGTCAGATTGGGAAGAGGATCTTTTGAGGAGTGAAGGCAAATGGCGGGGAAATTGTGATTTTGGTAAATTACTTTTGGGGTCCCTTCGAGGGAGTGGTTTCCAAGCGGATTTGGTTTTATAGGTGTTGAACTGAGTCGAGCGAGTCAATTACGAAAGTGCCCCTCCCTCGATCTGGAAATCACTCTCGGAGTGTTGTGCAAGTTCACGGGAGCCGCACGGTCTGACGGGGATCAAAGTACCGGGAGGTTAACAAATTAAATTGGTGATTAATTGAAATTACAGAATTATCCCGGTTTTCTTCGCAACGCGTCAGAACGCTGCCTCTGCAAGCTTGAGCGAGAAGCCGAGGGTCTCAAGAGAGCCATCGACCTTCAATAAAATTTATTCGCGCTTCCCAATTTAAATGTTCGTTTTTGACGTGGGTAGAGCTGGGAATACGGGCGGACCCTGCCCTAAAGGGCCTGGCTCTTATGGGCTCAGGCCCTTTAGGGCCTGAGCCCTAAAGCCCGGTTTCCCATTTTGACCCTCATTTCTCAAGCCCGGCCCTCATACTCAGGGCTCAGGGCCAGGCCCGTAAGCCCTTTCTTAAAAAAAAAAAAAATTAAAATAAAATTAAACATTATAAATAAATTAAAATATTTTAAAATTAAAAAAAAAAATCATCATAATTTTTTAAAAATTAAATAACATACATTAGAAGTCTAGTAATAAAATTTAAATCTTCATTTAAAAATAGTTCATTTTTTTTAAAATATACAAACATAATAATTATAGAAAATAAAAATATCATAAATTTTATACTATACACTGATATTTATTAAATTAGATTAAATTAATTTTAGAATAAATTAAAATTAATAATAATATAATGTGTGTAGGATCAGGTGAGCAGGTCATTGATTTTAAACACATGTTTTACTAAAAAAATAATAATAAAAATAATATAACAGGGCTTGAAGGGCAACTCGGGCCCGAGCCCTATTTTACAGGGCTTATCAGGGCCAAGCCCTCAAGCCCGATTACTTTAAAAAAATTATTTTCAAAGCCCGAACCCTTATTTAAACAGGCTTTCAGGCCCGGCCCTCCAGGCCCGGCCCTTATTCCCGGTTCTAGACGTGGGTGTATTTTAAAAATAACAAATATATTAAAAATAAAATCACGATGATAAAATATAATAAATTTTTCATCTACTTACATTTTGGCAAAAAATTGACGATGAAACAAATTTTTCATGATGATAAAAATATAATAATTTTTTGGGGAAAAAATCAAAAAAAACAAATTTCATCTGCATTCTTTGTCAAATGGCTGCCAAACAATGTATAAAAATACCTTATATGTTTGGTCGAACCTAATTTGGAAATAATTTACTCCGGTCCTCAATACTTAGAATTGGCTTACCATGCATAAAAAAATAGAAGTAGAATGCCAACAGTGCTGACTCCTCTAATATACAAATCGTTCTAGTTTAATAAGAAATATCACGGTTTGGTATTATATTTGTAGCTGCATTAAATTTTTATTGAGATTGACATTTTACAATCACACATGACTCGGTCTTTGATTGGTTGACTTGTATCTTTATAATCCTTCATTGCCATTTCTCATAATCCCACCCGACTCAATCCTAACTAATTAGTTTGTTATCTTTTTAAATCAACTTGATTGTGATTAGTTGGTTTATCACCTTGGTAACCCCACTCGCCTTGGGCCAAATTAGTTGGGCATGGTAGGTTAATTAGAGTCATTCATTGTAATCCCAAGTACCATGTACATAGACACATGTATCAATTTTATAAGGCACCCCTGGCTAATTCATTGAAATGCATTAGCATATTATTAATTGATATTTATGCAGTGAGTAACAAATACTAGATGACAATGACAGGAGGCAAGATATGATGCAGCAAAGAAGTTTAGGACTTGTTTGGCAACTTAAAATAGCTTTTTTTATTATCCAGAACAAATAAAACTATTTGATAATGTGTTTTTAAAAAGTGTTTTAGAAAATAAAAAATAAACAAATATTATTCTAAAAAATAGAAAAAAAAACATCTTCTTAAATATTATGGGATTATTATTCTAAAAAATAAGAAAGAATATAAAAAATATTTATTTTTTTTTTCAGAACATGTTTTACAAAACATTAATTTTCATAACAATAAAATAAAAATAGTTTTAAACAAGCCCTTAAATTCTTCTCATGCCAAAAAAAAGAATAATGATAAGTGTTGCTGGCTTGCTGCGTTGGGTGAAAGAATTTAAGTGCATGCATGCATATATTAGTTGTATATAAGGGCCCCTAATGCCTCGAACTACATAAATGTAATAATTTTAATAATTGCATTTTATTATAATCGACGAAACGGATAACGAATACTGGATTGCAAAGATAGGGTAAGTCCGTAAGGTATAGCAGCAAGGAGTTCAAATCTTTTACGTGTAAAAGAATAGCAACAATAAGCGTTGCTGTATTGGATTTAGTATTAGCATGTTATATTTCGCTATTAAATTTATTCATGTAAAAGTTATAATTTAAAAAGTGTCCACTATTTTTCATCCTCGTAAAAGAAATATGATCATAATATGGGTAGCTTCATTCTCGACTTCAACTTCAGTCATTTATTTTCTATTTTTTGGAAAATTGTATTCAAGAACTTTTAAAAAATTTATTCACAAACAAGACATAATAAAAAATGAATTGTTATTAAAATAAAAATATAAACTTATTTTTTTCTGAATAATTACTTGTTATTCACCGATTCTTGGATGCGATTTTTTTTTAACAACATCTTTAGTCATTTAAAAGCACATATCCTAAAAACCCAGCCCATCAATTTTTTTAACAAAAAAATAAAAAAAAACAGAACTTTTCTAAAAACGAAGTGTGTGTTTGGATAGACACAAAAATCGATTTTGCAGCCCATAATCGATTTTTTGATTGAAATTACCCAAACACCAGAAAAATGCAATAATCAATTAAAGAGGTAAAATGTGCGTTAATTTATAATCTACCAAAACCAGCTTTAGCTTAAAATCTTTTTACCGTTATTCACGTGCTCTTTCTATGTGAAAGCTGAAAAATCCATGTTGCCCTTCACGTGCTTTCTCTCTCTTCTTTCTAATCTTCATTTGTCTCATTTCAGTCGCAGCTTTCTCATTTTTGATCTCCTCTCTCGTTCGGTCTCACCAGTCGGTCCTCACGGTGGTGCCGCCTCTCTGCCGTCGTCTACCCATCCCCAACTTAGTCACCGTCCACCGTCTCACTGTCGTGTCGTCTCTGCCGTCATCCACCCACCTCCAACAATTATGCCGTCTCACAATTAGTTCTCACAAAGGCAATGATATTTTGGCCATCCGCCAACTCTGCGCAGATTTGTGGTCCTCGTGGCGGCGCCTCCTCCATCCGTCGTCTCCGAGTAGCTTCCAGTGGTGGTGAGCTCCTACTATAGTCGAGGAAGGCAGTAAGCTTTATCTATACTTTGTTGCCTCAATTTACTCATGGCCCTCCGTCTGTCGCTGATCTGCTCGTGGTCCTCTTCAATCAGTCCAACACAAAGGTAAATGATCTTCTCTAACCTTCTTTTGGATGATCTTGGTCAGATTTGATCTTGGTCAAATTTTGTTTTCCTCTTCACTCTGATTTACGCACGGATGGATTTGTTCTCGCGATTGCTAGCTTAGTTTTGTGTGGTTTGAACCATTTATAACTCTCGAACATTTGCAAATAATAATATGGTGAAAGTTGATTTTTCATGCTATTTCTGTGTTAGTTTTGTGCCTAGTTAAACTCTGTGTTGAACATGAGAGAACTATTAAAAGTTAATTTTTTTGCTATTGAAACCTAATTTTAGTCAAAATCTTATACATTTGCAAATTGTGGGAAAGCTGTTGAAAGTTGATTTTGTTCCAGGTCAAACTCTTTGCTGGTTTTGGTTTGTGTGATCACTGATTACTGGAGCTTTATTATCAAACAATATGTTTTGCATATATAGGGGTCATTTAGTCAAATTTTTTGCCATGTGAGTCTCTGTTGAATTTTGCTCCTTTGAAAATTGCCAAGTTTTTTTCATATAATATTTTAATTACAATTCCTATAATTAACATGTTAGTTTTTTATATAGTATAATGAGTAACAATAAGTCAAAAGCTTCATAGAATCGAATAAACACTGAAATATTTATTGACATTTGTTTGGACCAAGCTTGAAAATCGCAAAGAAATAGTGGTAGTTTTACCAAAGCAGAATGGCTCAGCATAATTTCTAACTTCAATGAGAAGATTGGATAGAAATATGACAGACAACAATTCAAGAATAAGTGGGATAATATGAGAAAAGAGTGGGTACTATGGGATAAGTTGGTTTCAAGTAAGACAAGATTGGGTTGGGATTATGCAAACAATATTGTGGATGCTTCAAATGATTGGTGGAAGAAGATATTGGTATGATGTTATTATGTGAGGCTTTATATTTATTTTATTTATTTGTGTATTCTGTAATACTATTGATAATTTATGTACAGGAAAATCCATTATACGACAAATTCAGACATAAAGGATTATCATTTGCCAACGAATTAACCGAGTTGTTCTAAGGTACTATCGCCAATGGACCTAGAGCATGGGCACCTTCAAGTAGAGTTTTGCCTAACATTTACAATAGGAATAAAGGTAAGGATGAAGAGGTGTATTGGCCAGATATGGCAAATGAGGGTATTGATTTGGAGGAAGGTTCAGAAGATAGTGATGAGATCTTAAAAACTACTGGAGTAAGCGGTGAATTTAATAGAGTAGTTCTAAATGCTTCTTAAGGAACCTTAAGTGGAGGCAATGGTAAGAGGAAGAGGGGCAAAAGCAGTAACGGTAGAAAGAAGAACAAGTTACCTAATACAAGTCAAATAGCAGATGCAATGAGTATGATAGCTCAGACAACAAAGGAAGAATCTCAACAGGCCAAGGAAACATCAACTCCCGAAGTCATGTCTATAGTCAAACAATGGGAAGAAGTTGTAACTGACAAACATTGGGTTTCATGATGCATGTCACTCTTCATGTCCCAAGAGGCTAAGGTGATGTTTTTGACGATGAAGGA